ATAAACTATTTTTTCTTGGATTGTTCCCGGAATACAAGGATGTCTGGTAATTTTAGTCTATTATTAATAGCTTTTCTTGTTTTTGCATGAAATAATTAGAATCATAAGTAATTTCTTCTTCTGTCAATTTGCCATTTTTAATTTATTTCATTGTACTACATGGTATTATGTTGATTTTTTTGCAGAAAAGACAGGCATACAGCCTGTTCGCGTCTACTCAGGTGTTTTAATGACATCCTTAAATAGCGTCGGGATACATATAAGTTTGCTAAAATTGACTGAAAATCATGGGGACGTATTCGTCGATTGTCTTGACGAAAAAACGACAGCACCGTGTTGGCCAGGCTGCACCTACAGCATTCCTTCGACTTCAACTCCATTAAGCACTCCATTGAAAGATGCGAAAAAAGAAAAAGTGGAGAAAATAGGAATATTGTTAAATTTGAGCGATCAGCGCCTGATTAAATTGTGTTTAAAAAATGCTTGTGTAGCTGTTATCGAGAAAGAGGCGTATCTTAACGGGTTAGACCGTGGTTGCGGAGACGGAGATTGCGGATCAACATTGAAACGATTTGCTAACGGTATGCGTATACGAATTATAATGTACCTATATGTCTCTTAATGTTCAACAAGAATTTACTAATTCTCCCTCTTTCTTTACATTCTATAGGTATTTTAAATAATTTGGAAAATTTATCCTTGTCGCATCCAGCAACGTTATTATTGGAAATAGCGAACATCGCAGAAGAATGTATGGGCGGAACTTCTGGAGCTTTATATTGTTTATTTTTTACAACTGGCGCAAAAATATTGGCGTCATTCAAGCAGGAGAAGGATATGCGAAACGTTTGGTTTTGCGCATTTCGCAGCGGATTAAATTGTTTAGAAAAATATGGAAGAGCGAAAGTTGGCGACAGGACTATGGTTTGCACATATATATGTACATTATTAAAATGTATTATTAGTATTAATATATACTATTATTAATGAACAGAAAGGTTTTTTTTATAGTATTAAAACTTGTTCGCTATGTTGTTATTTGTTGCAAAAAAATTAAACTTATTGTGAAATAGACATAGGACTTGTATTAAAAATGCAAGAAAATTAATTTTCAATCATATTTTTGTCAATCAATATTTTTAGATCGACACAATGTATGCGGCGTATACGACATATGAAAAATTGTTAAAGGAGTATCCTAGTGATTTTTACGAGAAAATAACCGCAGCAGCATGGGAAGGATGCTATTCTACGAAAAATATGAAACCAAAGTGAGTAGATATTAATGTTGATAAGATCAACACACAATCTGTGTACTTAAATGTTTAAGATACAATACATTTGCTGAAACCCTACAACTTTTTATATGAAACATTTTTCCAATAAACCAATACTTTCTGAGATAATTAGTTTCAGAATTTTTGACACACACTCCGTGTGTGTGTGTGTGTGTGTGTGTGTGTTGTGTTATGTGTGTAAAATACATATAATTTTTTAAAAATTAAAGAAATCTAATTTAAAATTATATAAATCTTCGTAAAATATTTTTAATTTAATCACTTTTTCGTACTAAACGTTTTGTAAATATGAACACAGTGATTCATTTGTTTATAGAGCGGGACGGGCTAGTTATATAAAACAAGCTCAGTATTTAACGGAAATGGATGCTGGAGCTTATGCCGCAGCAATATGGATTGCAACTATTGTACAAACAATTACACATTTCAAAAAATAACAATATTTTTTAACAACTGTATTTTAAGATCATGTATTTTAAGATCATTACTGTAAACAAAAGATATAAGATTTAATAATAAATAACAAGTTTATTAAAAAAATAGAATAAGGGATTTAATTATATTAATTATTTTCTTCTACAAAATATTTAAATAAAAATATAGTTGTGCGTTTATATATTTATAAATAGAATAAAAGTACATTTCTTAATAAACATTTCTGGCGAATACATAAATATTTTATAGCGTAGAAATATTAAACTTAATATGAAATAACTTAAGTTGCAGTATTGTTTGGCAGTATTTTGCCGATTAATCGGATTATGGTTTCTTGCACCAATTATCTATCAAATATTGACAGACTAAGTTTAACATTTTATTTTACTTTACACAATAATATAGAATAAATAAATAATGTTATTTGTATATGTGTTTCATAAGATTATCCAAAGAGATTGGTCACAAAGTTATTAAATCCGTTACTGATAGACGAGAAGATACCGTTGTTGGCATCAGCCGCAGTATTAATTCCTGATTGGGGTCGATAATGCAACGTATGGTCACGATGTGGATAAGGTCTCCCACCGATGTTTCCGTTATATAAAACAGACCCATTTTCATCGTCGTATTGTCTCTATTTCAAGTATAATAAATTTTAATATATATGTTAAGAGTAATTAAAATAAACATATAAAGTATCGAATGTAGCAATAGATTTTTTTTGGACTATTTTATATAGCTAATCCTCCTCTCTTTTTTTTAAACATAACAAATAAAAA